CGTAACCTGCCTTCTACTTGGTTATGGCTCCACACGAGAAGGGTCGTGCCGCGGAGTTGGTTGGGGGGGGGGGGGGGGGGGGGGCTTAAAGTGCTAAAAAAAAGGCTTGGTAGCACTAGGGTTAATTATTGTTGGCTATCATCTGAATAAATTTAAACATAAGTTTACTCACATACTAAATTTAAGGTGGGATGAATAAGTTTCTCATGAGATTCATTTATTAGAAATAGTTTATAAAAAATATTATGTTTGTTAAACATTTCTGTAGAAATAAAATATTTTCAAAAAGAATTCAACTTTTTGATTGTTTGTATCATTCGAAAAAGAACGTTGCCGGCGCTGCACCGCACCGCCACGATAATCTCTCCTTTGTAATTTCGATTGAAATGAAAATTTCAATAGGAAGGTTTTTTTTATTAAGATATTTTTTAATTTTATTGTTATTTCATATTTATTTGCCAATAATATCTTCTATATACGTATATTCTTATTTATTTGTTTCTTTTAAATAGTCCAATTCAAGATATAAAACATCAACTTGCGTCACTCAGTATTCGATTTATTGACAAAAGTTTATCAGGTCATTGTGATTTAACTAAAACATGTGCAACAAATTTAAAGATTATAAATTCTGATAATGGAATGAGTACTGATTCACAAATTCACAAACAATTTTATGAAGTTTATAAGAATGATCCAGAAATGAATCAAGTAAATGTATTTATGTGTTTTCATCCTGTAGCAATGTGTGAAATATTTATGCCTTTCAATCGTACATTGATCGTTATCGCATCTACTCGGTATGAATTAGCACGATTTTCTAAAGAAGATTGGACTAAATTGAACAAAAATCTTCAAATAATTGCTTCGGATCCTCGGTAAATATTCAAATAAAAAAATTCTTGCATTATTTTATTCGATTAAACACTTATTTTTCTCAAATTTCACATAAAAATGAAAAAGTTTTAGATGTTTATTTAGTTTTATTTCATTTTAATATAAGATCAACATTGAAAACTAAACTAACGAATTGCTTTTATAAGATAAAAGACTTTTCATATAAACATACAGGCAGCAACAAAAATTTATCCATGTCAACTAGCGTGAGAATGTGCATTGCACATCACGATGATGTGCGTACTAAGTATGATAAATCAACATAGTGCTTTAAAACAAGATTTCGAATGGAATTCTAAAACCCAATGTTGTAATACACTTTGTTTAACTTACGATGGAACATTCCCAACTGTTAATCGCCGATTGAAGTGACATTTTGTCTATAAGTAGATCTTATGACCTTTAGGACATTTCGAGAATGAAACATCCGTTTTGACTGAAACTTTTCGGATGTCATAAAAATCATAAGATCTACTCATGAGCAAAGCTTCAGATGAAAATTCCTTTCTTTTGATCTATTTTATGAATAGCTTGCCATAAGCTTGAAAATCTGTAAAATGGTCATAATTTCAGAAGGAAGGCCTATGGGGATGAATTCTTTTAGTCTTTTCCTAGTCTATCTGAATACTACTTATGGGTAAAATGTACGTGTACACTTAACTTTCGCAAGCAAAGGGTACCGAAGTGTAGAGATTGATGTATATCATATAATTTAGAGAAAAAAAAAAAGTTTTTATTTTCACATCTGATCAAACATATAAAACACATGCATAAGATTACATAAACAACAAATATATACATGACTATTTCTTGATGTTACATGATTAAGAACTAGTGAACTGTGAAGTCAATTTTTTTTTGACTGCGAAAATTTGTTTTTCATACTGCAGTGACGTCTTAAACATTTTAGTCCTAAAAATTATGACAAGATACATAAGTAGATGAATTCAGTAAAAAACGAACAGATGTTATTAATATTGATTTACTTTCGTCGGATAATTTTTCAGAGATCACAGAAACAATGACTAAAAATTTTTGACAAAAACAAAAATCGAAGCTTCTCCAACTCTGGCACAGTCGATTTTCGGAGTTCTCGATGTACTTTGCTAGTAGGAACATAAAACAGAATAGAAGAAAGAAAGATTATTCGATAATAAACAAAGTGCTAATTTCGTAGACATAGTGAGTTACGTACATTTTGTTTCTGCTTGGCACACTTGCTATTCGGAACCTTGGTTTAAAATTCAACCAATCCGAATAAATAAAGAGAACATTTATCTTTTGTTCATCATAAGGAATGTTGCTTTCCGATGAATATAAAATAAATCAGTAGTTTAAAATTAAAATGAGTTTAAATTTTAAGAAAAACTAGAAATTCAAAGCATATATAAATTGACACCTCTATTGATCATAGTTTTTGTGAACATATTCTCATTCATCGAAATATATTTTTCTTTTTATATAGATTATTTTCATCTCAAGCTAGCTGAAACTTTCTTGGAAAGGATCAGTTTGTTGTAATAGAATAAAAATATAATTTTTCAAATATTTCCTTCTTTGAATTCGTCTTGTATTAACTATCTTATTTGACATTCTGTATTGTTTAACGCATGTGATTTGTAAATGAGTAAAGACAAACTCATATTTCATGAAATTTCAACATTCTTCCATTCATAAGGATTCTCGTAATTAATGAAAGATGCTTGAATCAAAAACAAAATCATTATGGTTCGTGGCTTGGCGATTCCAAGAACCAATGCATTTTGGCATACGTATTAATTTCATTGGATAAATTTTCTCTAGAAAGTTCTGTCGTTTTTTCTATTTATCAATATGAAGTTTGTATTAGGATTAACTGAATCTTTTCTGAGAAAAGTGAAAGGCACCTTTATGGACGGTATTATAGCTTTTTGTGATTTCATATTTCTCTCAGAAAGGTTTAGTTAAAGCCGAAGCGAACTACAGATAAATAAATAAAAAAAAAACACCAGGATTTTTGGGAAAAGTTGATCCAATGAAATCAGTATCGCTTTATTTGTTTCCAAAAAAAAAACGAACACTTTCTGTCAAAAAAAAAAATTAAAAAAGAAGAGTAAGTCCTGTGTCCTAACACTCTTTTTAATACGATGGACGTAAAAAAAGAGAGAATTAGTAAAAACCGATGGTATTTTTTTCGTTATTCTAGTTAAAATCAGATTTTTTTAAGTGAAGATGAACTTTGGGAAGAAAACGGATTTTTCAGGAACAGATAGAGCGTGAAATTCTCTATTGATTGGTCTGTTTTATTTTATTTTAGCGCAAATCCATTGGTTAGGAAATGCAAAATATTGAATAGCATTTAAATCTAGTTTTGCGTGGAAAATCATTTTCAGTATGAAAGATCGAGTCCTCTTCTATCATAATGGATTATGTAGCCAGCATCTCATACTATCGGCGTCTCTATTTCAATGAGATTTGCATCTTGTAATAATGTGAAAGAAAACTTGAAAACACAAATGCAAGAAAACATTGAAAAAAAAACAACAAATTTGCTTAATTTTTTGTCGCTGATTACCTATGGGTATCTTAAGTTTTATTTCAATAAATAATTAAAATTTTAATAACAATATTGAATTGAAACATATTTTTATTTAATTTATCGATCTAAAAATTGATTTGATTGAACATAAATTGACCTTGAATATTGAATTGGCATACAATATATAAAAAGTAGGATGAATAATATTGTAAACTACGTACTTTTTCAGATAAATATATTTTATTATTTCGGGCAAAATTTTCAAAACAATAAAAGTTTTAACTTTTATTGAAATTAGATTTACAAGGAAACCGAGAAAAATATATCTAACATTGAAATTTATTATTGAAACTTATTCAATATAAAAGCAACATTGTCAGAGAATAAATAATTAAATTAAAATATTTTACAAAAAAAATAAAAACCTTTAAAAAAATTTAATAATTAAATTCTATTGACCAACATGAAACAGAACAAAAATAAAGTAAAAGATATTGTTTGAAAATAAAAACAAAGGAAAAATGTGTACGACGAGTTGCATGTTACATTTCATTGGAAAGAATAATTTGCCATGAGAATAATAAAGCTTTTTTTTCTATAAATAAATGAGATAGTTTTAAATCGTTTATTTTATATGTTAATATCTCATTTGAAATAAGATAACATATCAATTAAGGATATATTAATTACATCAATGAAATATTAGTTAAAAAAGCTTCAAATCTATTTGTCTAAGTTCGTAGAGCTTTTCTGATGATTGTTTCAGTAAAAATATTTTACTATTTTCATCGAAAACTCAAGTTGCTAGAATCTAAATATTGGATAAAGTTCAATTGTTGGAGAATTCAAAAATAATATGATATTTAGAAGTGTACTGAATCTAGTACCATCATTTGTTGCTGGATGAAAAATTCTTCTTACTGAAATGATCATTAAAAAAAAGCTCTTCAGTATCGAATAAATGAAAAAATTTTCGAATACGTTTGTATCTTTGTGCTTAACTTTCTATGAAAATACTCGAACAAAATTTAACGTGATACTCAGGGATGTAGCTAGAAGGTGAATGCCCAGAGGGCTCGGGTACCTCTCATAGTTTTTCTCTGATTATACTTTTAGTGAATTATATCTCCTCTATCCTAGCATTGAATTTCTGTTAGCTTCATTCCAACAATTTTGTACAGTTCAGAAAACTATTCAGTGTGCTTTTTTTTTCTTGTCGGTAAGGTTTTGCTTGTTACTTAGAGTACTGTTAGTGAAGTAAAAATTAGTTTGGATGACATATCATCGATAAGTTCTGTTCTAAGTTAAATATAGTATCGCTATTTTGATAAATGTAATTTCATTTACTATTTTTTAAGATGAATAAACAAAATATTTGTTTTTTTCTTTCAGTTTTATAATTAATTAGAAACAGCTGAGAAAAAAGTCAGAACTTTTTTTTTGGACTCATAAAAATCAGGTTCGTTTTCAATTGAGGCATATTAGGGGAAAACTCAAAATATTTACGTATCTTGTGTATCACTCTTGGCGAAATCCTAGCTAGACTCCTGGTGGTAGTCACACGGATTTCGGAGCGATTTTATTTAAAAGAACATCTGATACAATTGAGTAAACTTTGTAGAAGACAGTTAAACTAGCGAAAAGTCTAAGATTGAAAATAAATTATTTTCAAAATTGACAAAATTTATGAAGATAATTATTTCAAAAAACAAACTGATAGAGATACTGAAAATCTATCGTTTTGTCTTTGTTAAAATGAACTTATTCAGTCAAAATATTCTATTCGTTTTTTCATGCTAAGTTATTTCTGTTCAACGATCTACATAATTCAGTATTACTAAGAGTCAAATATAAATAATACATATTAAAATAGGACACATTTTATATTAATTCTACGCGATTATTAAAAGTTTTTTTTTTTTTAATTTTTATTAGTAATGTAATAGCTGGTAATAACCTCTATGATGCTGAATATATTCGATATTTTACTGGTATAAAAGCAATGGTATTACCATCATTATGTGCTTATACAAAGGCATCATATAAGCCAATAATGCGAAAGCCTTTTATAATAGCTAATATGAATGCAAAAAACTTTCGTTCGAACTTTATGTCATTGTTAACTGATTCATTTAAACGTTTGAAGATGTATGTACCGATTGGTCATTTAAGAGATATTTACAAAGAACATTATCGACATTTTCAACTAGCTCAACATCCAGGTATAATACATATTCCATATCAAGTATCTATTATGAGTTTATTTGAACAATATCGAATGAATATTCCATTATTTTTTCCATCACTTGATCTTCTTACTGAATGGCATTATACATATCGTGTTGTTAACGAACGAACTTGGGATGGCATATC